CTCACTCCAGTTGCAGCTGAACAAATATTTCTAACATGGATAACCTCTCCTCCCTCTTTCTCAGCTGGACAGACCACATATTTTTATAACTCCCTGTCAGTTCTTATGTCTAATGTGCTCAGCCAGGGGAAGGAAGCTCCCACAAATAAAGGAATTCAAACATCGCATTTACTTTTTCAGCAGTCTTAGAACCAAATGTGCCTTTCTAGAAGCAGCCCCAGAAAACACACGGTCCAAATTTTCCACGTTAAGGTCTGTAGCTCAAACCAGCAGGCTACGGACAGCTAAAAGAGCTCAGAGAAGCAGACTGTAGAGGATATGTATACATACAATGCAGGCAGGCTCTGCACAGGAATATCACGTGAGCATTTTGGAAAACAGTTTTGGCAAGTCAGCAAAACAGGAATATTTGTACTGTTGTACCACAATTACTTGAGGGAAAATCTAATATTCCTAGTTGTCATGCTAAATAATTCAGAAGACCTTGTTTAGTTAAAGAAGACTCTCTGCTGAAATTGTATGAGCATTACTCAAGTTTCAGTCTTTTAGTTCAAGATAAAATATCTGAAATGGCTTGAACAGTATGAAAATGTTAATGTAAGCAATGTGTGTTTTCTTCACTTCAGGTATTCTACTTAAACAGGATCTCAGATGAAAAGATGCTGATGCTGCTTTACTTGCACTTTCTAAGCATGAAGAGGATTTTCACACTAACCATTTTGTTCGTTCAACCATGTATTTCAGCTTTCTGTCTTCAGCAGTGCCCCTTTGAAGATGTGCTGTATCACTGCTCTATGAAATCTGACTGTGGTAATTGTGGAGTTTTGACAGTACTCAGGAAAAAAGCTGTCATTCTTATAAAAGATGCCTGAACACTTTCATCATTATGCACAACAGCTTGTAACAGTGAATTCAGAGGTTGCTTATAAACTGAAAGCAAACATTAAGACATTAAATGAAGAGAAAAGATGTATTTACTGATGGACAGATCTCTGGAGTGCAATTAACTGGTGGTTAGCTGGTGTGAAAAGTCAGTGTGAACTAGTCTGCTCCTCAGCAGTGGTTCCAGAGGAAATACCAAACTGGAAGAACTGCAGAAATACATTACATGCAATTGGAGAAAAACAGAGCTGGAAAAACGGTACCTGACCTTACACATATTCAGGATTAGAAACTCCACAATTTCCACAAGCATGCTGTAATCTGACTTTGTTAATGCTTGTCTTCTCAAGCAAAACTACACATTATCCCCATACCCTTTTACATGGGCAGGTATTGTTAGCACATCACCTCTCAGCCTCTAAATGACCCTAACTCTTGCACTCTTGTCTCATTTCCTAGAGCTCTAATTACAACTGTTGCACTCTTCTGGTTTGTCTCCAGTTAGTACTGCTGTTCAAGACAGACATGAAGGAAAAATGGGATGCAGTACTTAATTTTTCCCAGTTCCAAAGAGAGCAGCAGCCAATTCATGAATCATACATGCTGTATACCTATTTCCAGTTATTTTTTTATGTTACTTATGTTTCGCCTTTGTTGTATTAGAACCTCACAATTCTTTTCTACAAAAACAGACACGCATTCCCTATCCAGTATTTGAGCATTCAGTTGGTCCTGCCTAAATGTAGTGCCTTGCATTTGTCTACATTGGATTTAATCTTTTTTCCTGGACCACTTGATCAGTTTGTCAAGATGTGCTGTTGGCAATAGACATACAGCCATATCAGACATCACATTGCAGGCATAACACATTTTTAGCCATTTTTTCTACGGATGCAGGACTTATAAAATCACACTGTTCTCTGTCACCTCCACCACTTCCTGACAAACAGCTTTTGAACAACTTGCTTAATTCCATTTAAATTCAACAAAAGGAAAAGGTCTCAAAGATTGAATTCAACAGTTTTCTGAGAATCAGCAACTGGGTAGAGAAGCCTGAAACTGTTTCCCTTCTCAGAGAGAAAAGCCTTTGGCATGAGCACAAGACTCGTGTGTGCTGTTTGTTGTGTCAGCTGGCTAATCAGTCCCTGAGCACTCATGGGCCTGTTGCACATGCATCGCTCCCGAGGGTCAGGCAGTGCACGTGCTCTGCTTTGCTCTGCTAATAAAACAGGGGAGAGGGGAGAAGACCTCGTGGAAGAGCTAGGATTACACAAGACAGGGGAAGGAGCTACCAATAGTGCAGTTGTGGGTGTGTAGGGACCGAGGACACGTAGATAGAGAAAACTGTGCTTCGCTAGTTCTGCTGCTCAAGGAAGAACTTATTTCCACTCTGGTATGATGGCACTGGGATGTAGATATCCCATATATTGCTGTTGCCCTGACTGAAGTGGACAATGGCTTACCATGAACGAAGTGGGTGTGTTTTCTGAGCCAATCTGTGCTTTAGGTCTTAATCAATTGTGTACAGATACCTACTGAAGTTCCGACAGCAGCATCTACTGTACATTGTCTTTCCTTTATCTGCCAAAGGACGATAATCAGATTTTCTAAACATACATCAAGTAACTTCCCATGCATTTACAAAGGATAAAGAACTCTTAACTCTGCATATGTGAAAACAGATTGCTCCATCACTCTATACCTAGAGTAAGAGTGGAAAGCACATGGTTGCACACTTCTCTTGTGACCAAACGCAATAAAGTTTAACCAGAAAGAAATATTGACCCACACAAGGACAGGCTGAAGTATTTGAAAAAGCATTATTGAACAGCATGCACTTTGGTCATGCACTTTGCAAGCCTTTAAGCAAACATCCCTTCAGAGCTGCAAAATATAGTCTGTCTTATTTAAAGCAGAAGATAGAGGCATAGTCTTACTCCAGGAATAAAATACTTTTAATCCTACAGCAATTATTATAGCATGTGGTTAGCAGCACCCACAAGCAGGAAAAAAACCCCATGTGAGTAGAGGACAAGGTAATAAGGACCATTACTCTAATACTTACTACTAGCTTCTCTAGTACTAAGGACTTGAGAAAAATATAAATGCAGAGTACAGCACAATATATTCCTGGAGAACTTGAAAACAGGTCTATCGAGGCAGATAAAAAGCATTATCATCTCCACAGTGCTAGAGTTAAAAAAGCTAGATCTATTAGTGGCACTTCTCTCTAGCGGAAACAATCTTTACTCTGAATTATTTCAGGTTTGCTTGTAATCTTGTATTGTTTCAGTTGTGAAGAGTCTATGACTTCACACTGACTCAGTAATATCTGCTAGTTTAATACTAAAAAGCAGTAGATTCTTTTACATGAATCTGGAATGCCTGTGCATTTCTATTACAGAATGCTTGGTTTCTTTATGAAGCTTTACCTGCAAATTGTGATCCTTTGTAGATTAAGAGCTTAAACATAAGCTTTGAAAACTAGTTGCGTAGGAGGCTCTGAAAGAAGCCTCTGTGCAGTAAGAGTGTATAACACTATGGCATGAACAGATGTGATCTTTGACAGTGATCACTGAGGGAACACTCAGCCAACTTACAAAGGAAATGAGGTAGCTCTGCTAACCTGGGACATATATTTTGTAGAAGCAAAGACAATAGTAACTGTAGTATTTTAAAACTACTAGATATGAAGCTATTTATTCTTTTCGAATTTCTGAAAGAAACAAAAAATAGTTGAAACTGAAGGGACGAGTTCACTCTATCCTTCACCAAGATCCAATTTTCGATCCCCATACCATCACTGCTCAGTTTAAGAAAACTCTTTTGAAAAGAAAAGCAATGAAATATTCCAGAGGAAAATATTAAAATGTGATACACAATATACATTGCCTTCCAAAGGCAGGGTTGGTATCTAACTACCTAGTAAGCAAAGTAGTGTAACAAGCAAGTAAAGAGTGGTAGGTATCTACAATCATCCTGCCTTTGGTTGCTGAGCATTGGATTCCACAGCATCTTAGAGTTCTAGCTCAGAACTTTCTGAAATGTGAAGAACTGAGTAAAGGAAAACAGTGAAACCACCAAACGGTAAATTGTGAAGGGCCTTCTTCAGTCAAAAAGGTGTTCATTATCCATTAAGTATACTACACAATACCATCCACAATTCTTTTTCTTTGTACCTACAGGGGTGGATCACTGTATTAACTGTATTGCATTCTAACACTAGAAGTATTCTAATGCTTTTCTAAGTGACAGTGAAGAAGGTATACATTCCTAAGAAAAAAATTGTCATCTGACTTTAACATTGACCTTTTGGTAGCTCCTATTAAAGAGGCACATCACTAATGCTACCAATTCTGATACAAACCTGTAGTTTTAACTTACCACACTCCAACTGCCACATGGGTATAACTAATTATTACTAATAATAATTCTAATTCCCATCAGAGAATAACATAGTAATAACATAACTGGGGACAACCCATAAAGGTGTTTTTCTGTGAAAACCTCTAGTTCAAAGAGGAAGCAGTTCAGGAAAAACCTAGCGAATGAGCATAGCATCCTTCCAAAGATCAATTCATCAAGCAAGCATATCTTCAATACATGTAATAAGAAATAGTCTTGTATAAAATACTCAGTTGAAGTATTTTTTAAGACTAAAACTAGAATATTAAAAGTATCACATTTATTTATGACCACTTTTATGTCTAGTGTTCTCACCTACAGGTTGCTGCTACAGACGGCCATCACATCTCAAATTCAATATGGTAAAAAGAGGACTCAGAAGACAAATCATTTGCTTTCTATTACTCAGCAAGCCAGCAAGCCAATACACAAAACTGCACTATCACCAGTCCTGGTCCTGGACTGAGGCTGTAAGACCACAACTTCAGCTATTGTGTCTTAAGTTACTACTCTGGATGGTAAATAATCAGTTCACTAAGACGAGAGCTATAGGGTTATTGAAAGGCTTTTACTATACTTGTTTACTTCCCAAATGCTATTTGTTTGCGCTTCATAGCAGTTTCCATCCCATCACTACAGAAAACCTTTATGTACAAGATACATGTTAAATATAACATACTGAGATGCCCGCAAATGGAGTAATACAGGACAAATAATTTTTATGCAAATTTATTCATTAGCTTTAACAATAGTAAAACATAAATCAATGCTATGCCCAGCATAAGGTTGTATAATAAAATATGCTATTCTGGTAGGATTGATTTCTAGTACGTATATTTTAAGGGCAGTTTTCATCCAAATTGGACACATTTTAAAATAATAAATAAATACAAGGCCAAAAATGCTTACTTAATGGAAGTCCTGCTAAGTAAGACTTCAGGCTCCACATTACTTCAAAGCACTAATCAGTACAGGTGTCTGCATACATCTTAAATACTTATACACACATGGGTTGTGCTCAAGCAGCATACATTTTTTAACATCTGACTCAGACCAATACATACTAGATTTCCAATTTAGACGACCTTATCTCTCTTAAAGCTAGCATCCACCTTTCTTTTAGGATTGTCTTGCCTTCCAGCTGTGTATCTGCACATATGAATCCCAGCAACATTATGTGTACCAAAATACAAAGGTCCAGCCCCCTCCCCATACTACTTTTTTGGCTTGAGATCCAGAACACATAATCTAGTGGAACTATTTATGAAACAAATTGCTACTCAATTTGAGTGCACTGCTTTGGGGAAAAAAAAACCACACACTTTGGGAATAGATGGGAACACAGTCTGCTCCCAGCTCTGTTATGTTTTTGGAGCTCTTCAGACTTAAGGATTACATCCTCTCCAGGATGTCTGGTGCTTACTGCTATAGCATTAAGCTTTAGGCACACTGGGTTCTGTAGGCTATAGACAGCCCACAAGAAGCTGCATTTTCAGCTTTGTTTCCCTGATGGCCAGTGAGCCCAATATATACAGTGGCTTTCAGACGTTCATCAAAGTGCAATATAGAGGCATTTACTGACATTCGGGCTACCTTTATTTATATTCAGCAATATCAAAATCTGGTCCCAATTTAGACTAGATACACATGAAAAAGCATATTTGGCAGAGATATTTTATTTACTAGTATACTTATACTGTATCGGCTATCCTTTGGGCATATTTATTCTACAAATCTAGGTAAGCTTGTTTTATTTTCTTCTGACTTTTAAATTCTACTGATGGCAAAATTCCCTTTTCCTTAAAAAGTTACACTCAGGATTGAGTCAAATTTTAAAACTACTCTAATTTACATATTGTACTTTATTATATCAAAAACAAAACCCAAAAGCTTGGTCAAAGTATAAAGACTTATAAACCTAATGAAAACATCCCTGAGAAAACTTCCAGTAACATAGCAGTAATCATTAGTTTTGGTCCATTAGAGGAGAAAAATTGTTACATCCAGTTATTGAATACTGAGGGCTTACAAATACATTAGTTGTACATTGGATTCCCACTCATTCACTTACAAAATACTGTGTCTGATACAAAAGCCACTAGAGGTTTTTTTTTTACATTCTCTTTAGTTTGATATACAATATAATCATTACAAATTTTAAGATGAATGGGCTAGATTCAGCCCTGGTGTAACGCCTTTAATGTCAATGGAGTTCACACACTTACATTCCAGGGTTGAAGTCTGGTAACACAGGTGACTGTGTGAAAGAACAGTACCTAAAAACCCTTAAAAATTAGAAAGGATACTTTTTACGAGTTGCTGACATACGTTTTTGCATACTTCTTCTGCAAGCAAACATTTTACAAAGATTTAAGTTTAGAAGTCATACTGCCATGCCATAGGAAAACTCAGAATACTACTGGGTTCAACTCTACTGAGAAAGCAAAGTACGTAGAGTAGTCTCCACAAAAGTGCACATACGGTTAATGACTATGGAAGTACAGTGTTAGTACACATGCAGGGTGAAAAAAATATAAGAACTTCTTGAAAATCAGAGGGATGTATCATTCTTCATTGCTCTGAAGTTGCTTTAGAGGGCCACACAGTCCAATGTCTCATTGTTTTAGCGGTGTTTTAGAACAAACCAAGTCAAAATTCACATATATGTAAAACAGATAAATGCAAGTAATCCACTTTTTGACTTCTTTTGCCTGGAATACTAATAATTTTCCAATACATCATGCTTTAACTGGGCTTCTGAAAACAATAGTATCCAAAAATAAACTAAAGCTGCTTGTACTGAGGCAAAAAACTAAGTTAGCCCTAGACTTCTGTACCAGTACTCCTGACCTTAGCACTTTCTGCTACAACAAACCTGTCTTTTGCAATTAAAAAAGCCATGCTGTATAATGTTACATCAATAGCTTCTGCTAAAATGAGACTATATTTTACTTTATGAAGTGCAACAAAAGTGTAATACAATATCTTGTACCTAGCACTCGCCTAATTTGTAAGAAAACATGCAAAAAACCTACAAAGGTGTTTCTGTAAAGTTAAACCAGAACAGACATAATACTAAAAAGGTATTTTGGAAAACATCAGAACCTGAAGACTCCGCTTCAGGAATCCAAGAAGGGCATTTATACCCATTTGAGAAGATAGGGGAGCAGAACTGCTCATTGTGAGAGAAAAACAGAAAAACCCCACAAAACCAAATACTGTATATCAAGTTATCCTGAAGCAACTAAAACAACCCTTTTTTTGCTCAGTGAGCACAAGATTGGTTCAAAATTCATGAACAAATTGACTTTGTATCACAGTATCACTGTGGGGGTCAGCAACAGAAATTCAACACCCAATTAGGCTGTCCTCTGCCAAACATGAAACATTTTTACAGGGTCACTGTAAGAGGAATTTTAGCTCTCAGGACGGCTTCCTCAAACAGCTAAGTTACACATCCAACTCTAGAGAAACACCTTAGACAGGGTCACAAAAGGCAGCATACGTGTTTAACCATGATATTTGTGTAGCAAGCTAGTAAGGGAAGTGGATCCTTTCAGACAGTAGATGTGTTACCAGGTGGTGAACTGTCAGAGACTGCTTTTGGATCAGGAGTGCAACAAATAAAAAGTTGTCTTCCCAACCTTTTTTGGGCAAATCTGAAGTACATTATGTGGCCCATTGCAACAAAAGACACAGATATCAGCACCAATAAGCCAAAAGCTTCAGGATTTGGGGCCAAAATGACCATGATGAAGTGCAGCAAATCAAGAAGATAATTCATGGAGTTTTGGACACCATTTATGATGCCTCTTTCAGATTCTACCACATTTTCTTGGATCAACTGTGTGACAGTCAAATCAAAGGACCAAAGGCCTACGGAGAGAAAAAAACAGTTATCCATACAACCGGGCTTCTCATGGTAAGCTTTCATTACTGGCACAATTCAATTCATACTTGCAAATGCTCACTTCTAAAAATGAATAGGATAAGCTAGCCTCTTGTCAGACTAGAATGGATTTCACAGTGACAGTCAAGAACAATTTACTTTCCCTTTACTACTACTTCCTGAAGTAATACATACAGCCTGACACATTGACTTGCCTGTCACATCTTGCTTCAACATGTCTATCAAATTAACAAGTTATCAAGTTATGTTTTGCTCATCTGTTCCCTATTTAAATAGCTGTTTTACAGCTATTTACAGTTTATTCACACTAGCTACAATTGCTGTTTCGCATAAGATTTTTGAAAAAAACATTTTAAACTGCAGAATACATATTTTACAGTCTTAGCTGACACTAGCTTCTATACTGTTTTAGTCTATCAATGGTTCAGTTTTAAGAGTTTTTCTTGCACACAAACTTAATACATGTGAATCAAGTATTTTCTTCCTCCAAAATTCAGCAAAAGCTGCAGAACTTAGGGTACAAAAATCCTACAGATGAGAATTACTGTTCATTACATTTATGCATTTGACTGCCTCTTCTGTTGACAGATACTATCTCTTCTTAGTGATATACTATATGGAAGAAATTAGTATGCAGTCTCTGTACTGACAATACTATTGCAAGAATGCATTAGCCTGAGAAGTGTGATAAAACACTTCAAATGTAGCCTACAATTCTAAACTCAAATTTGTATTTACTTGACAGGCACTGTAATTTCTAGAATTAAAAGCAGACAATAGATCAGATTTTAGTACAAGACATAATACTTACCAACTCTAGCAGCAATGACTCCTGCAAACAGGAGACTAACAGAGATTAAAGGCACAGGCTCAGGACTCATCTCTGGGTCACTATTAGCAGGAGTAGCAGACCCGTTTAAGAAGTTGGGCATTCCAGTTGCAAAAACCATTTCAGGCTTATCTTCTAGAGGTGCTATAGTAGATAATGGTTCACTTTCAAACAGCCTGGCACTGATGTCAGCAAATGGGGAAACAGTCAAATCCAGAGGACTTCCAGGCATGAATACAGAGATGGCACATAAAACCAGACAAGCAAATTGAGCAACTCCAGAAATAAGGCCTGTGCGAACCAGGCCACATTTGCGACGAAGCCAAGTGAAAGCTACTGTTCCCATGATTCCAGCGACTGCCGAGGCACCCATCAGGAGGCTTAGCACAGAGCCACTCAGACCCTGAGTGTATGCATAGCCTGTAGTAATACAATCAAAGCCCAGAACAGTCATGTATAGAAATGCAAGACCCATGCCTGCAAGAAACACTGGCTGGTTGTAGTATGCAACCCATCCATCACGAAACGTGATGAAAGGTTCAGCAATCCGGGCAGCACAGCTGACTTCCTTCTCCTGTTGGGGCTCAAAGCCAGTTACATCTTTCTCAACAATTAACTGCACTCCTTCAGCAGGTTTCATGTCACTCTCTGTGAATAGAAATGTAACTGTTAGACATGCTCCTCCCTGGAAAGTGCAGAAAGTAAACTGCAAGACAATTCTTTGCAGTTAGTAAGTTCACTGCTGCAGAAGTGCATCAGTTAAATTCTGCATCAACCTTCCCCCGATTACTTAAATGTTTTAAAGTGTCCTTAAACCCCACCTGTATAGTAAGATCAAGTAATGTTTATCCCTATCAATTTAAGCTCCTGCTTATTTAATTAACCTGTGGTAGGAGAAAGCATATCCTGCTTCTTTTCAATAGACTTGTGACCGAATGTGCCGTATTTCCATGACAAAGTTATTTGCTTAATAAGTGCAAATGTTAGTTGGTATTTTAACATAGCTGTGCATGTCTAAATGTACTAACCACAGAAATTAAGGAGTACTTAAACATCTATCAATATCTCATGCCACAGTAGAATGACCAAGGCAGAGATGCTTGCTGAAGCCTACCAAAGCCAAAAGCTTTCAAAACCTGACTTAAAAATCTTGGACCATGCTTTTCTACAATTCCATTTTCACTCTAATATAGGGAAAAGGCACTACTATTGGTCACAAGAAAAAATTTAAAAAATCCACAGCAGTATTTAGATTGGTAACATGGATAGAAACTATGCAAATGTTTGGATGTCTGAGCACTGTTTTTAGACTGTCAAGTTTGAAACAAACTCCACATACAGCAAGTGAGACACATGACATGTCTGCAACTTTTAAAAAATGCTATTCTACTGAAATCAGAATACTGCAATAGCAAAATTCAAAGATATCTCCTATATACTGACATTTGCTAAATGTTTTGTTCTTCAAGAACATTCAAGAGCCAGTTCCAAAGCTATAGAACCTTCTACTACACTCTTTATCTTGCTCCCCTATCCTAGGCTGCCATCAGCCTAGTCCAACAGCTTACTGGACCAGCTATCACCACAATGGATCTGCTGGCTGAGAAGACAACATGTATCTTCAACACTTTTAATAGCAGATTCCTATTTCACTATATATTGAGCAAAGAACAAATTGCTAGCTAGCTTTTAAAGAAAAAACAAGAATTCTTTATAAGCTTTCTTTATAATCTTTCTTTAAAAAAAAACCTCACAACATACTGTAGCTGGGAGCCCATAGCTTGAGCTTTCAGAATTACTCACATACTGCTATATTAAAAATGAGAAAATGCTTAATTTTTGTATTCTATTATCTGGCATTTCAAATACTTCATATCAAAAAGTCTGCTTCTGAAACAATTTTAATTTCTGATATTAAGACTAAAGTAATGTTATTATCAGTTTTAAGGTTGCTTATAGTCATAGCCATCAACACCACAAATCCCAGTTGTTCAGCTTGGCCAAGGAAGCAGAGTAGAAGGTCAAAGTAGATTTTTTTCTCCATCATTTCCTGCAGCATTTAGAACTCAAAGCATGCCAGACTAGGAGTATTACCACCTCTTCTACATCCTCCTGAAAGCCTATTAGTACTACACATAGGTAGAGGTGAGAAAGAGTCCTATACAGGCTGTTTTGCTTGTAGAAACTACAGAGAAAAGCATTTTGTCAGCTTATTAGTTATGGTATAGATGGATAAGAGCATTCCTCACAGTCAGCCCTAAATAACAGGGCAGACTTACTCTAAAGGATTGAGAGAATTCATTCTTTGGATGCATTTTATGGGATTCTTCAGATAGCTGCAGAAAGTATTGTTACTTAGGTTATTAGTCTCTGGTATCTAGATCCAAAACCTGAAATCTTTAAGATACGAGTAGAAGTATGTAACCTAAAAGCAGTGTCTGCAGAAGACTAAAGTCAACACTTCAGTTTGACTGATACAGTGAATACATCGTGAATTTGAACAGGTACTTTTATGTTTTCAATACCTTTCTTTACATTCAGCTGTTTCAGTTCCGATTCTTCAACTTTTGCAGATTTAAGAGCCAGAGTAGGGGTTTTCTCATAAACCTTCCACAGCAGCAGATATTCCACACACATCGACATCAGGTTCCAGCCAGAAATGAATCCACAGCCAATCAACGGGGAGCCAAATGTCATTATCTGGCCAACTGCCATTGGGGCCAAGATATTGGTCAACTGATCAATTCTTCTTATTGTGGCATTCATATCTGTCAGAAATGATTTGATGATATGAAGTAATTGCTGAACACTTACAGTGAAATATTCACTAACATAATTGGGGATTGGACGTATATACACATCAAGCTAAGAAGTCTTGCTCCAACTAAGTTGTTCCAGCAAGAACAGAAGTTAGCCTGCTAACCAGAGGCACCTTTAGAGTGTTCCAATCTTTAAATTTACTGGGACCAACCAAGGTGTTTGCAAGCCAAATCCCAACTCCTGCCAGTTGTGCCTGCATGAAGTCTTTCATGTTTCACATGCTGGGTTTACAGTGGAAGTGTACTCCTGCAGTTAAAACTGTTAGTCACAAGATCAGATTACCCTTACATCCTAGGGACATTATGGACTTCTAAGCCTATATCTGTAATATTCAAACCCAGAATGCACAACTCCAGACACAAAGAAGAATCTCATGTGGTGGAATTCTTTCCTGTAAAGATAGTTTTAGCAACTACTATCACCCAATACTGGGCCCTGTATTTCTTAATCTCCTCCACTTACTTCTAATAAGTGGTGACCACAGTACCTACTGTGATAGCAGCAGACCTTTGAAATGGCTTTAAATTCCTTATCGAGTCACATTGGTTGACGGCAGTTATAGGCATTCTCAGAACTTACTGAGCAAAGTCCTCACTCCTTTCTGTTCCACACTTTGATGTTTATGGTCAAAACAAGCAGCCCATTCTTAGCATGAATGCATCTTTCATTTGCTGGTAGGGGATGCCTCACCCACCCCGATTTTACTATGTTTAGTGTCATTACATCCTCTGGGCTCCTGTAAGTTTCCCATTAACAGTGCCATTGTTCCACCCCTCAAAGTTGCTAGACACTCAGTGGTTTTGCCTGATGTCTTCAGGCTGCTTAGAAGTACATCTCAAACATTTTAGAGTCCTATTATGAAATCAGAGCTTTGGAAGGGCAAGTGAAACTGTACACCAGTGTGAAGCTGCTTGTCTGAATCTATAGAGAATCATTCCTTGCCATTCAAAGAAATGTTGATGTTATTCTATTTAGAATCAAAGTCAACTCAGTGTTAACTATTTGACTGATAGTTAACTAAGATGAGTAAGTTAATATTTGGCTCTAGAAATTCCAAGAAGTAAGCTTTGGTTTTTTTGGTTATTTGAGGAAGGCTACCATTTCCACTCAGGAAAGGTACAAAGTAAGTGTGAATGGAAAAATTAATAAAAGGGCAATGAAGAAGGATGCCAAGACAAATTTTTATTTCCCCATTTCACTAGCTTAACTAAGGATCCTCTCCAAGGAAAGTTAACAGTGCAGGGATGGACAACAGTATTTGCTGTAAAGTCAAAGGTAGCATTTAATTTTTTAAGTTTAGGAACATCAGCACTCTCCAAACTACATTATGATTAAACTCTTGCTAAGGTGCTTAGTTCAGTGGGTTTTTGTTTTTAAATTAAGTTGTACGAGAATTCAGAATAACCTCTTGCCTGATTTTTCAGTATGGAATATAAGTGGTCATATAATACTGTCTGAAATCATGAATCAGTACACAGGCAGGACTGCCTCCCATGCAGCAGTTCTCTGCAGGTGTAGTCTGTACCTTATCTCATGTGTAGTAAGTAGTACAGGAACTAGGGAGATGGCTTGCTGAATAAGATCTGACAAGAAGAAAGGTTAATGAGAACCATTAGAACTTTAAGACTTTTACGGATAGATGATATTTTTCTACTTGTGATTCACACACAAAGAAAGTTAACCTGTACTGCTGCTCTACAAAAGGCATGACCTAGAAAGGGACTACAAGGTCAAAAAAGACTACAGTGAAAAATTTCTACACTGGGAAATGAAAGCAAGACACTTTTAATGCATCTAATTAAGAACCAGCCTCTCCTGGATGAGATTGAGAAATAAGATTCCTTCACTGCAGATAAACATGAAAAATAAGTCTGCAATATAGGATTCAAATGCCTAAAGGGACTCTGGCACGTAAACTGACCTTTATGGTCAATTTAGGCAGCTGAAATGCTGTCTAGGCCTGGAGGTATCTAAACTCCACAAGTGTCAGACTTAAAACTTTAGTCCCAGAGTTACTTTAATGAGCTATAAGTGTCCTGGCAATGTTAAGCTGCTCTGTGCCTCATTTGCACTTCAGTATCAGTTCCTCTATCTGGGAAGGCTTAAGTCCCTTTACAGGGCTGATTCAGAGCTCACATAGCCTGCCCAAGTTAATCGCAAAAAATGCTGCTTCCCACACAGTCTGTTACAAGCAGAGAAGCAGCATAGCCAAAGATCAATCATACATCCCTTGGTGTGAATGGCCTTGTGGCTAGAAGTACCCCCCAGCAAAGGGAGTCAGGTTCAATGCATCCTTGGGGAGGATCCCAAACAATCTCTCACATCCATGGTCACGACCACCAAGCTGCAGTAGGATTTGAATGGGAACTCATTCTCTCTCCTAATAATGCCATGCCATTGTGCAAAAAAGGGGGAAAAAAGGAAAAATATTTACCAGACAAAAAAGATGACTAAGTCTGTAGTCTAATACCAAATGTATCGGATGTCAAAGGAATACAGAGCTTTCAGTTCCAACTGAAGAAAAGTGTTCACAGCTCTGAGTTAGACATCTAATGCTAGAGAAGTGCAAGATTTCAAATATATCTGCATGCACAGCATTTCCTACTGGCAATTTCCTGATCCACCTACTTTACTGTTCTGGACTTCATTCTCATGTACCCCTTTCTTTGATCCCTATGTGAGGAGCCCAGTTACGCAACAGTTTTCTGTTTCATACCAGGGACCTAAAAATAAAGTATTGCAACACTTTGCTTTTAAGTGCCTAGAAGTTAAATAGCTTTTTCTATTAAACACTGGTTATTTGATTTAAGAGCATGGTGTATGTTTATTTGTCTAGTAGGACTAAAATGAAGACAAAACAAGTTTAGCAATGCCTAACTGAATTGTAATCACAACAGTAATTTCTGATCTCAGTAAGTGTAGTCCAGAGTAGGGAAGAAGAAAATAAAGGCTGCCCTTTTTACTTGCTGTTTTCTCATAATATCTGGAGCTCAAAGATGTGCCAACCTTTGTAAAACTCTAGTCCAAAATCAAGCTTGGAAAGGGAGACATTTAAGGTCATAAAAAGGCAACATATTTCACCTGCCAGTTTGCTTCTGTCTTCCCCTGCAACCACAACAATCCAGTCCCTCTGAATTGTGATCGCTGTGGCAGTGCTGGCCAAATTGGCAATATTTGCTACTGTGATAACCAGGATATAGCACATCGTCTAGAAAAATGGGGGGAAAAGTTACAATGTGAGAAAACAGATGAATCTCCACCCCTACCCTGTACAACCAGAAAAGAAACTTTTATATTTGAATACATACATTTTAGTGCTATTCTTCAGACAAAATAAGAGCAAGTCTACTTTACAATTCCTGACAGAAAACAATCATGTCTGTTTACCCAACTAGCTCAAAGTTTCATTTGCCAGTTTTAGCTCACAGGAATGTCTAAACAGACTAGTGAGAAAAATAAAAATTCATCTGTCCCCCATGCTCTTAAAAGTTTCTTTGTAAGTTAATTCCTTATTAACAAGTTCAAGCACTCACAAGAAGCCATCCATGGTATAAGGTCAACAGCTGTGTCTTAAACAAGAAGACAATCATCAGGATAATACCACACAGGATGACAGATGCATTCTGTACAACCAAGGATGTCCGGGCCACTGTTTTAAATCAAAATGGAAAGCAACGGTTATGAAGAATGAGCTGACTATAAGCTTAAGGAGGTTATAATTAAGGAACATGCACAGATTCTTTAAATGTTTTTATTTTCCTATTCTCCCCCCAAAATATAAGTGCTAAAACTATACTTCATATTAGATTGAATCTTTCATTGTCTTAGAGAAACAAATCAACTTCTGATACAACTTCAGAGCTCTTAACAACTTGCAGCCCAACTAGGTCTTTTCTCAGTCAAAAACCAAACTGTACCTGTTTAAATGCTGACACTATCTTTCAAGGGGTAAAAACAAGACTTTGCTTGAGTGTCTAAAATTCATCTACAGTGTACCATGGAAACGACGCTATTTTGCAAACTCTTGGAAAGTAAAAATGTATATGAAGAACTTGATGCCATGTTATTTATAAAACAGACTAGAGCATATAAAGTATGTATAATGCAAAACAGTATGCGATTACACTTAAGATGTTTGTATCCAGACAGAAGACAACAAATAATGCAAGTGTATGTAAGTACTAGACTGTAAAGAACTTGGTCTGTAGTCATTGAAGTTACATGTTTTTTACTTTTTGCATTTTTGCACATCTCTATGTATCATACAGGTTTAGCCTGAGAAGTGGACACACTGTGACATAAAACTGTTTTTCTCCTGTCTTTGACACTACCTTTGTATAATCATTACCACTCTGAAACACCATCCTTCTTTAAAAAACTGAGCAAGCCCCATCCTCATATTTGACTTGAGGAGTTAACTCCAACAGCTTTATCCTTTTACATTAATTTGATCCACCCTTAAGTAAATAGCCTGCTCTAGGCATCTAACCTTTGAGCCTGGAGTTCTTGTCCACCCAGTCTCCAATAATGGCTCCCAGGAGAAGAACTGATCCCGCCACAACCAGTCCATAGACTGCAGTCAGGAGTAAGCTGTTTCCATACAGTTCAACCAGGAATACCGACACAGCAAAATGCCACATACGATCTCCCTTGAAGAGTAACAGAGAGTACATACACAACATTACTATTCAGACTTTGCAAGCATACAAGCTGACCATTTTACTAATGCCCTGACAAAAGTCTGTATTAAAATAGAGGTTTGTTACACATGAAGGGGTGGGGCTTCTTATTTGTTTAATTTTGGGGGTTGGGTTTTTTTGGTGACTACATCCTGTCACCATTGATTTTATCCCAGTATCACCAAGACCATATGTCCTAATCAAGTGCAACATTACAGCTTGTAGTACCACATCAAAAATTCCAGGCATTTTCTATATATTATTACAGGACAGTCTGTTCCCAGCCATATCCAACAGCCCATAGAAAGCTTACATAGATTTTCCAGCACAGATCAAATATTAGCAAGATTTATTCACTACCAATACTATTTAAATAACTTTTTCAAGACAGCAGTTTGCTCTTAGATGATCAAAGCTTAAATGCTGCTTTAAAACACAAGAGCCAGTCAAGTCAAAGAAACTTGTAGTGCAATTCAGGATAGACATAGGTAAATTGAGGAAGGTACTGTCCTACATGTTAACTGAAATTTCTGAAGTCAATGGACTTAAGCTCTTTTTATTAATGTTAAGCATTGGCATGTTACTAAGAGGTAGAGTACCACAGCTAGTTTAATTTATTGTAAACCCACTGCTACTTAGCCTATTACTGCTACTTAGCTTACTACTAGTTTAACCTAGTGCTTAGAATACAAAGTTTTCATGTTCTGACACCACTTACTACAGGCAAAAAAAAAGAAGCCCGATATGCTAAACATGTCCAAGTGAAGTAATTCTCATACTATTCAAAACATTTTTAGGCTTGCTGCCAGACCTGTGGCATGCTAACAAATACATTGAGGTTTTTACATCATCACATGACAGGAGTTGTATCTCAATATTTTTAAACATATTGCAAGAGATGCACTACAGAAAATGCTTTATGTAATCAATAACAAAACAGATTAATAGAAATAATTTGTACTATTCTAGGGCACACAGTTTATTTAATAAGGGTGCCTAATGTTAGTCTTTTATAAACAAAACATGAAACTTTTATTCTGCTGGCTTATCATAAACAAGCAATTGCTATGTGATACAGAAAATAGTACAAATTTCTAAGGACCTCAAAGATTCTAAAGGGCTGGGGGAGGTGTAACATAAAAGCACTTAAAAATCAAAGTCTGCCAAATCTAACATATCATATAACACAGCAATCATACATAAAAAGCATGCTATTTGGAGGGTCAAAATAACTACAGTTTGATTAGTCTTCAATGTAGCATAGGTGCTGAAAAAGGAATTTGCCTTTTAATGTTACTGAAGTTCTCTTAAGGAGGTTTCTTCAAATATCATAACATGTAAATATTCACATTTGTTTCCTTAACCACAGGCAGAAAATTACATCCCAATCACGTGAAAACAAAATTTCACCTGTTCAAGGAAAAACTTTGGGTATTTCATATGTTTTCCAACTAAAACCAATGAGAAAATGCATGATCAGCTTCAGTGTGCCCTCTCAGATATAATAAACCAATTTTCACTCCCCAGATATACCTGAAGTCTTCTGTAAAATATGTTCCACTTTTATTCCATAGGTAGTGAAAGTATATAGAAAGTATTCCAGCAATAAGAACACAGGGATATAATTTTCCAAGTCTAGCATTCACTTAAACTTAATATGACCTGAGGTACCTCTTCACTGAATTTCACTTAAAATACATGCAGGTGGATTAACTAAGTCTTGATTAGCCTGGGTAACTATTTATTAAACTAGAAAAATAAGCCAAAAGAGTACTTTTACATTAAAATTTCCTAACAGAAGTTTGAGTGGTTTTTTTCTTTATGAAGAGAAGTATCAGTAACTGAATTCTGACAAGATGAAAAAATAAGTATGTGAAAGTCAGTGGCAGCCACTACTGTCATGAAAAACCTGATCTCACTTTAAACTCACAGGAGGATTCCTTTGACTCCAGAGAGATCATGATTTTGCTATACAATTCATTTAAGGAGCTTGTGAACTCTATTCAACCTTATCAAACATATTTACCCAAAGTATTTTCATCAGGCCAATCCACACAGATGATTTTTTGGGTTAACTAAAGTTGTTCCAAAACCTGGAAGCTGAGTTTCTTTCAAGAATTAAAACCCATAAAGAGCAAGCAAACATAGTGTCACAGAAGGAACAATATTAGTGAATTACAGAGGTTTGACACAGGTATGCAATTTCAAGCTAAGATCTACTGAAATTCAAACAGTAAATATTGCCTTCAGATATGGGCAAAGCCTTGATCATATATACTTAATCACACTTTAAAGTGTCTCAAACTGCATATACTTCAACTCTCTTAAATAAGCTACAGCTGTTTAGCCTCACCATCCTTTTAAAGACAGTTCTTGCTCACGTCCTTACAATTACCCTTATAAACATCCCAGACTGAATGCATACAATTCCATCTCAGAACTGAAGCCCACAAGTTAAGCAGTAGCCAGTGGCACAGATAAACTGGGAAATTGCAGCTGACCTCCCAGCACACATTAGGCCTGGCACCAACAAGGTGAACCCAGTTTCATTCTGCTCTTTCTTTACTGCCAACTGATAGACAGCAATGGATTAAGAACATAAGGCAACAGCATAAAGCCTGAGACTCCAGTTCAGCAGTGCAGTCCGGCCTATTAAGATCACTGAGGCCAAGCACAATTTCAAATGCTTTACTGAAAAAGAGCCTAAGACACAGTCTAGACTTTGTTCAAATCTGAACATTTGTGGAGATGCACCACATTTAATCATTTACAGCTTCTCTCTGTATTGGGGAATGTCTTAGTAACACAGAAACCAAATTAGCTCTCTCCATTACAGCAAAAAACACATTTCTATCAGGTTTTGTATCGCAGACATAGCTACTTTAGAACAAAGATGATATATTATTTGAGTTCTGAAGACTGAAGTGTTTGTTTATCATTCCTGTTAGCAAAAACATTCAGACTACAGGAACACTAAAGCTGAGGAGATACAAAAGGCTCAGTCCTGCAGCCAGTTCTGTCAAAATAAGCCGTATTTCTGTTGTTCCAGCAAGTTTGGTGGAAGTTTTTTTGATTCAAGATTTTCAGCACAAAAAAGCCCCACACTGGAACAAGGAGCATACTATTAATATTGCTAAATACTTGAGCAGGCATCTTGCAGTCTAATGTTTGTTATGGTGTGCAACATTGTTTTCAAAATCCGCTTTGTCACCTTTACTCATGTACTCCTAGAGTAATCCCACTGCCAAGCTTTGCAGCACTCATCAGGGAGGAGTAAGTAGGGTTGGCCAAATTGTCAGTTAGACACTTTGGGGGCATTACTGACAAAAACTGTTGCAGGTGACAACCCTGGCCTCTGAAAAGCAGTGAGCCAAACAGAAACATCACCACCCAGCTCCTTCAATATATTAATAAATTGCTTATATATTGCACTTATTTAAACATGCATTTGCTACCACTTCAAGCCTTCTTCCATTAACAGAAACATCAATATGCCCTTTCAGGTTACGGAAAGCAAGCAGCTGCCAGAGTCAGGCATGCAATGTTGTAACCATATATCAGCCATTTGTTCAATGCTATACAAAGCACCCATTAAACTAGTCCAAATCCAGGACTGAAAACAAAACAGGGAATATTAGGGAGGAAGCTTTCCACTTTTGAGTCAAGCAATGGGATGGAGACTTAATATTCTATTACAAGATACATATATTCTTAATTTTATTACATGGAATAGAGCCAGATTATCTATTTTTAGTGCATATTTTAAATTTTTTACTATATTTGAAGTGATTAAAAGCTAGTGTAGTAAGTTACTGTAGTACAGAAGGAAAGCATGTCAGAAAGCAAACATTTTGACCAAAACAGAGACACCTCCTGACACTCTCAGCAGGTTTGCTAATAAGTGGCAGTAATGGGTCCATTGTAAACATTGAGTATTTCCCATTAGCAAGCATGCAAGTCCTTCAAATACACTTTGCAATAGATTGTCCTTCATTCTGCTATGGACTATTCTTCATTTCATTCACTTGGAACTTACTCTATGAGTCTCATTGGTTCTGTAGTTACTTAAAAGCATAGAAAGTTACAGAACCAGGCCCTCAGGAAGTCGGCTACTACACTACTCTGCACTAATGAAAACTGAATCTACTGCAATACATCACGTAACGATTACGAAGCCTGTTAACAGAAAGGTGTTGTAATGAGACCTCTGCCTTTGTAGCAGTGTGCTATTTTGTGAAGATCATTCGGGGGTACCAATAGTGCTCAGATATGTCACAGCTAGATTAATAAAACCCTACTTCTGCCAGGCCAGTATTTTACTTACCCAAGTGGACAGGGCATGTCCAAGAAAAAGAAGAAACTTTGCAGACGTGAAATAGGCGACCACAGATCCTAAATGAGAAATAAGAAACAAATGCTAAAGGAGATTCGGGCACATCCACCACGTTTCGGCACACACCAGGTACTACTCGCTGCCGTGGAGGAACCCAACAT